CTCTTTCTCCTGACACAGACAACATCATCAACACAGACTTTTTTTTTTTTTTTTTTAAGGTTGACTTGCCAGGAACTATGGCTTGCATCCCTTGAAAGCTTGTGCATTAAAGATTTGGTCGTCGGCATGAAGCTGTTGTGCAGTGGTGGAACCCACAAGAGGCAGGGCATGGTGAAAGGTCTGTAGGTCACTGAGGGTAGGAGCTCAGAGGGAGCCCAGGCCTTCCTTCTTTGATTTATTTATTTTTTCTCAATTATGAGACATGAGTGGCTCTGCTGGCTTCACACCCTCTCTATGACATATTTCTCCACTACAAACCTAAAAGCAAGAATGTCAACTGATTTACAGACTTGAACCTCTTAAGTCAGGGCACATTCAACACCTTTTTGCTTTATAAGCTGATGCACTTAGGCGTTTGACATTTGTTGCAGTGACTGAAAACTGGCAAGTGTACCTCAGATTAAAAACTTTTTTTTATGGGACAAAAATGAGGCCCAGAATATGAGTTGTATTTTATAGATGAAAAAAAAAGTGAAGAAGAGGGTGGTCATGCTGTTCTCTCACTGTTCCCTAGATTTTAAGCAAGGGAGTCAAAGCCAGAGCCTCTGGAAGCCTTCCTGAATGCTGTGTTATCAAGTCTCAACACTTCCTGACATCTTTCCTGAACTTTGCTTAGAATCTCATTCATAATTTGTGTTCAAGTATTGTGTATTAAAAAAGAAAAGTGGCCAGCATTTTAAAACTGGGTGATCTTGGAATTATTTTAAATTAGAACTTAAAACATCTCAGCAGGAAAGAGAAAGGAACAGACACTCAATGAGGACACATCCTAGTTTTCATTTTTCTTTTGTCTGACTGGTGTGGATAATTAGCAGAAAAAATGGCCACAAAGTAGCCAAAGGGACTGCAGGAGTGGCGAGTTTATTATGCAATAAATAATAACAAGCTGATTGCAGAGAAGCTGTTTCTTAGAGCTCTAAAGCCACGAATCTTCACTTCCTTATATCACTTTTAAGTCAATTATCCTGCAAACCATCAATGGACTACTGTGAACAGCATTCTCTTTCACACAGTTCTCCTCTTTCTGCTTGCCCAGTATTCTTACAATGTTTTTACATAACCAATAGCTTCATATCATTCATAATGAGTTTTCATATCATTCATAGTGAGTTTCATTCACAATGAGTTTTCTTCCTGAAAATCAAAATGCATTCTCCGTGTTATCAATTAATCAGTGCCCAGAGCATCCTTCTGTGAAATGGGTGTGTGATGGGGAGGGGTGTCGTTCTTTCCCAGGATGACATAGAGAAAGCAGGTTCGGAGGGCAGGTCGTTTCTGTCTTCGATAGGGCTTGATGTTACTCAGTTCAGTTCAATATTGTTGACTTCTGTTCTTCCAGGCTGCCCAGAGGTTCATAGTAAGCTGTGTCCATGGCATTACTTCATCATGGGGCTCATACGTAATTAGAGGTCTATCCCCTGGCAGGCAGATCTTCCATGTCTGAGGATGGAGCAGTTGAACAGGAGAGGGAATGTCTGTGACATCATTGAACTTAAGTTTTTCATAAAGGAGAAAGACAAGTATAATCCATAAGCAAGCTTCAGTCACGTTACCAGAAACAGACACAATCAGTGTAAGAAAGTAAAGGAGCACAGGGAGGGTGGTTTATTTTATTGAGGATTAACACAATAGTCCTCACTGAGAAGGGGTCTTTGAGATGAGGATGGAAGGACACCAACATCTGAAGGACAAACATTCCAGGTAGATGCAGCAGCCAATGCAAATGTCTTGAGGAGCCTGTGTGTGGACTTTATGCCCTTATAATGCATAAAGAAAGAAGGAGATCCTTTGCTTGCTGGAGCGGAGGAGTGGAGTGGGCTGACTGGTTTTGGTCAACAGACACAAACTAGGTTCACTCACTCCAACTGAGGAACTGCCTAGATCAGTTTGGCCTATGGTCACATCTAGGAGACATTGTTTTTTTTTTTTTTTTTTTTTTTTTTTTTTTTTTTTTTTTTTTTTTTGTAGGAGGGCCTAGCCTCCTGGGAGTGGTACCATCCCTTGAATCGTGGCTCTGGGCTGTATATAAAAAAAAAACTTAATGGGCAAGCCATTAAGCTGAGTCCTCCATAAGCTCTTCTTCAGTTCTTGCCTCCAGGCTCCTGCCTTAACTTCCCTTGGTGATGGGCTATAGCCTGTAAGCCAAACATTCCCTTTTCTTCTCCACATTGGTTTTGTTCAACATTTCATCACAGCAAGGAAAGGGAACTAGGACAGCAGGTTAGCATGCCAAATTCAGAAGTGGCGTTGGTGTCTTAAGGACACCCTTTATTTTGAGTGGCTTATAGACCTTTGAGAGGTGTTAAGTACAGAAATCACATGGCACTTACAGTTGAAATCATTGCCCTGGCCGTTCTGTGGGACCTTTGTTCTAATCACATGCAAGGTGTGGGCGAAAGGGAGCGTTTGTAGCTCCCCAACTTGATTGGAAGCTCCCTGAAATAAAAGCTGCCTACCAGGTTTGTTCAATTTTTTTTTGCAGAAAAATAAGAAACTTCCATTCACAGTAAATAAATAAATAAATAAATAAATAAATAAATAAATAAATAAGTGCTTTCGGGATAAAAATGCAAATCTGTATCAGCGGGCAATGATTTATTTAGAATGCTCCTGATTATTTACAAAAAATAGACACCATTTATGATATTTCAAAAATATTAATACAATTGTCTTTTTTTCCCTAGGGTGAAACTATTAAAGTTATTCATAAAGAAAAATCTTTTAAATGTCTTTTTGGGGGATGATGAGGCCATAGATAGGTCTTTTGCCTGTTGCTCAGTGGTCTCGTCTGGCACATAAAAAGGATACAGTACCACATTTAAACACTTAATTTCTTTAACAAAAATATTACAACATATATGGTTACTAGAGAAAATGTAAAATGAGTTTGAATGATGACAGTTGAGAATCATGTCACACTTTTGGTTTTGAAACAGAAAAAAAAATTACAAAAGAGAATGTTAAAAATCTAAGCTACAGGTGGATTGGGGTAGATCTAGACTACTTCCCTGAGTCTAAATCTGAAGAATGTGAGTCCTGGAGATTTTAAAGTGATAAATGTAACAGTTTTTCCATTACATAGTGATGGAGTTGGGAGTTGTCTCCTGAATTGAATCTGCCCCCTTAGTTCTTTTCTGGCGACTGGAACTAGCCACACAGACTCCTTCAGGCCGTTTCGTTTAGGACAAACTGATAAAGACACCCAGTCCCTTTTTCTACATCTATCCATCTGAACCACATGAGTATTTAGGTAGCAGATATAGCAAGGTGGAAGACAGAAGAGGAGGCAGGAGGCTGGAGAGAGAGCAGCAGCTTTCAGCTATCGTACGAAAACCAAGACGAGTTTGGAAACAAGGAGAATTTTGCTGAACAACGGAAAGATTTGGGGAGCTGGTAGAAAGTAGGGGGAAGTGAGACTCAGCTGTAGGTAAACTGGTCTGGAAGAATGGTATTTGTCCTGTAGTATTCGGAACATGGATGGGGGTAGATAAATGTTCGCTATTTTGAGTGACACCTGGCAGAGACTGGGCGGTGCTAGAGAACTAACTGGTTCTCACAGGTATTTGAATAGCAGTCCTGATGTACGAGGTCTACCGGGCTTGGACAAGGAGCTACAGAGGGCCCTGGCTAACCAAGCCTGGTGCCACGGGGCTGTAATTCCAGCCGCGGGGCAAGCTGAGGCAGGAGAATCGTGAGTTAAGACCTGTTTGGGATAGACTGAGTTTAAGGCTAGTCTGGGTAGACACTGTCTCAAAAGTGAAAAACAATACAAAACCAATCAACCAACTAACCAACCAGCCAACCAACCAAACAAACAAATAAAATCGATGTGTGTTAGAGATAGCGGTGAGTGGAATACACAGTTCATTGTAGCGGCCCTACATTTAGACCCACAAACAAAACCGTACCGGCTAGCTCATCTACCCTCAGCCACAGAGGAAACCGTCTCAGATTCACAGGTCGCTACAACTCCCCAATGTCCCGGAAAGCCGGGTTCATTTCAAGACGGCAAACACTTTTCTCTTTCATGTCCTTCTAACACTTGCTAAATTAGTTGCAGGAACCTGAAGAGTAGCTGCTCAAGGGTATCAGCAACCCCAGACCCTTTGTGATTCTGTGAACTCCAGAAGAAGATGAGGAGCAAAAGGAGACAAGTTTCTCTGAGGTCAGCAGGTTAAACCTTCCAGACATCAGACGTGGACCTTCAATGTCACAGGTGGCAGGATTTCGTTGGAGGCCTCCAAATTCCTTCCCATTTCTCCAACTTCGAAGGAGGCAGTGAAAGAAGGCCACAGGCAAACAAGACCGGGGTTGGGATGGGGGTTGCGCTGCCGGATGAGTCATTTGGTCCTGGCCGTTGCCTCCAATTCTGGGATATTCCAGCATCTCTCTGTGCTGTTACTTAAGCATAAGGATTATCAATCATTTGCTTCCCTACTCCTGCCAGCAGGGTCGCCAGGCGCATGCTGCAGACCCGCTAGCGGCAGGGGGCCTTATCTATCAGTCCATCCATTTACACCCCCCACGCCCACCATCCACCCACCCCATCCACTCACCCTCCACCAAGCCCTCCCTCCTGCTTAGCTCAGTTTGGCTCTCCCGGCCTGTGGCGGCGCGGGCGGGGGCTCGGAAGCGTGGGCTGGCCAGCGTTGGGGACAGGGCCTGTGCTCCCGAGGGCCTGGAGGGTCGGGAGGCCAGGGACACCCAGGGGTGTGGCGGCGGCAGAGCCGAGCCTGTCCGAGGCGGCACCTTCGGGCGTCCCTGTTCCACGTGACTGTCGCCTCCTCCCTCCTCCCAGTCGCGCGCACGGGGCCGGGCGTCTCGACTCCCGCGCGCGCTCGACTGGTCCCAGTGCCCGGGAGGAGAAGCGGAGGAGGGAGCGGGCGAGCGAGCGAGCGAGCGAGCGAGGCGGCCCGGGGGAGCGGGCGCGAGCGGCGGCTGCCGGGGCCGCCTGTGCACCGCGGCGAGGGTGGCGTTGGCCTGAGCAGCGCGAGTGTGATGAGGCTGCCCTGCCTCGCAGCTCCGCTCGCAGCCAGCTGACAGCGCCTGCCCTCAGCACGCCCGGAGGGGAGCCGCGGGGCCGTGACCTTGGCCGAGGAGGTAAACGGAGGGTGCGGGAGGGGAGGAGGCGGCGCTACCCGGGGTCCCCGAGACACCCCGGCCCGCACCCAGTACTCGCCCTGCTCCGGCGGGAGCCACGGTCTCCCGAAGCAGCGCGCCCGGGCTGGGGCGCTGCGCACGCCGCGGTCCACGGTGCTGAAACTGCTGCCCGGTGCGGCCGGTGCGTCGGTGCGGGGCAAGGCTGCCTGCCATTTGCTGCCGCCAGAGCAAGGGCCGAACAGGATGAGCGAACAGGGACTCAGATTTCTCTGCTCTCCCGGCTGATTGTTCCAGGCTTGTGCAGTTAGCTCGCTCTCCGAGGTGAGCCAGGTGATTGCCCAAGGCTTGATTTCCCACCGGCCTCGGGTTGCCTGGACTGGATTTGGATGCTTTTGGATGCTTTCTTCCAAAGATTAGTCAGGTTTAGGTCCAGAGTTAGCGAGTCGAGTGAGGTGGGCGCAGCGGAGGAGCCATGGGCTGTCAGTGAAGGCAGGTGGAAGTGGAGCAGCTGTGTGGGAGACCCGAGGGATGGAGAGGAAACGTGCAGAAGAACACTTGTGGGGAAGGGGCCTCGACGCGCCTGTCGGGAGAAGCTAGCAGGCTGCTGGGAGAAAGTGGGCTGCTGTGGGTGTTGGCTTTCTGCCCTTTGGGGAGAACCGCATCAAGTGGAGCAGCAAGTACCCAGGGAGAGCTGTGGGTACCAGAGAAGTGCGAACCACAGGGTTTTTAAGTGAGTACTTAACGCTCTCAAAAAGAGAGTATTCACAAAATGAAGTCCACAGAACCCTCAGCAGGGTGACTATTTCTAACTTGAAGGTTGTTCCTGGGGCCACTACAGCAGTAAACTCCTTCTGTTTTTCTTCTTTTTTGAAAGTCCATGCCCTGTGTCCCCCAGTCAGCCCAGGGATGAAAGAATTCTTCCTGTGGACTGGGTACTGTATTCTGAACATGAAGACGAGTGTGTGTGGGGGTCTGTTCCCTTGAGGACTCCCACCAGGACCTCACTGGAGCCTCTCTGATCCTTTGCAGGGCAGACTGACAATCCTTGTATCTGAGCTACGGAGTTCTGGGTGAAATGGCCCAGGGGAATAACTATGGACAGGCCAGTAACGGGGTGGCAGACGAATCACCGAACATGCTGGTGTACAGAAAGGTAATAATTTTTCACTTGCCTGGGAAAGGGGAAACGTTCTCTCTCTCTCTCTCTCTCTCTCTCTCTCTCTCTCTCTTTCTTCCGTCCTTCCTTTTTTTCCTGGATCAGCTGTATGAACTCCCACATCATCAATGATTATGTACTATATTAGAGAATGATCCTGGCACTTTTTTTTTTTTTTTTTTTTTTTTTTCTGATCGTTACCTGAGTTACCTGTCCTTAGCAGTTTTGGCGTTTGGCTATTCAATGTAGTTTGTTTGTTTCACTGGATTGGATATCATCCCTTGCAATTTTCAGAGGCCTTTCTGAACACCCCTTCCAAATATTTAGGTTATAATAATTTCATAAGCGTAGCACAGTTTGGAAATAAAACGAGAGCACTTTGCAGGTCTGTGGCTAGAATGACTATATCCTCGGATGTGCATGCTGTCAGGAGTTTTCTCACAAGTGACTAGTCCTTCCTGTATTAACCTAAATTTTCACTTTGTGTTAGTTTCTGTGGTTTTATCCATTGCATCTATCATCAAGTGTCATAGGCCCATTTGATAAATCTGTGCAATCCTGATCCTCCTTCCACAAACATATCTGACAACTTTCTACCCTGCTTTCAGCAACAAACTTCTAGACACTGAGTTACAGACACATTTGGGTTTTGCATGTGTTTCAGAGAGGTCGCTTAGGTAACTTCAAGATACCTATCATCAACAAGCTCACTAAAATTAAGGGTGCCGTTTTCTTTATGTAACCTCTGCATTGATTTTATTTTTCCCTTTTGTAATTTTTACTGGGATTATTTTTCTTAAGCGTATTACCTGGGGTGTGTCTCGGGTCAGATTTCTTTAGTTGACACTGACAATGGCAACTAGAAATCATTCACTGAGGTCAAGAATGTTATTAAGGGTTTTGATCAGCAGGAGCCCACGGAATCCAGGCTGAGCATGGATCTGTGAGATGCGAGATGATTGTGAATACAGAGGAAAGGCCATGTGCTACCTTAACTCATGCGGAATCCCAACTTTTACTTGTGCAGCCCAGAGACATTAGAAGGTAGCCAGAAATGTGCTGGGGAGATACTGATATTGTTCTCAGAGCAGACTGCATGGTGCCTGGACACAACACCAACTGGCACTGTGGACAGAGCTATTCCGTGTACTTGTAAATGCAGCCAGATGTGTCTGAGACACCATAAAATGAAGGGAAAGAAACATAACTGACTAGTTGGCTGTTCCTAGCTATTTCTCCAAATAGATTAAGTAAGACTATTATGAATGTGAACCTAAGTCATTGCTATTACACTCTGACACTGACTGAAGTAACTGTGTGCTTGCATATTTTATACAGAGAGTTGGCTTAGGGAAAAATTACGCTGGTGGCATATAGGTACTTTAAAGTAAATTTTACTATATATATTTTTATTTGGTATGACTTTGAATGTTGTAACCTGTAAGATGTGAGAATTTAAAAATCTATTTTAGGAGTTTAGGCAGTATGGAAATCTATATTTTTGGAAGGGGAAGTTATGGTAGTAAATAGCATTTGTGAAGCTACACAACTACATTCTTTTCCTGTTTCACTTTTCCAATTATTCATAAACTGAAGGATGACTTAGATGTTACTATTATTATTTGATGTACTTGAGCCTCAGCTTGCTAAGTTTGAATTTACTTCATAAATTGTATAGTCTCAAATTGCTGTTAGTTTTAAATTTAAGCTTATAGACTTCATGGGGAGAATATAACATTTTTGTCCTTTGCGACATGGTCTTGCTATGTAGACCTGGCTAGACTTGAACTTGCAGCATTTCTCCTGACTCTTCCTGTCAATAACACTTCTTTCTTTCTTTCTTTTAAAAGACAACATTATTTCTGGTTGAGCTTTAGACTGCTTGTGATCCTCATTTTATCCTTCCTTGATTAGCTTTTTGTGCAGAGATTAATGACACATATCATTTAGTGTTCAGGGGAAAATCTGTCTGATAAAACATGACTGATAAAAAAATAATCAAGTCCTGTAAATTTTGCTCATTAAATCTAACAATAGATTTAATGCCTGCCTGTATTGTCTGAACATTTATTTTTGTGTATGTAAGGTTTTTCTGTGTGTGACAGAAATAATAATTCGTAAATAATGCCAGATAGGTCATAAGCACTTGAACTCATCATCCTTCACTAGTCATTGCGTAAGATGCTCTATGAGCCTGGCGTATGACTTCTCTGATTTTGTGGTGCCTTTGCAGCACATCTTCTGTGGGCTGCTTACACCTTGGCAACTTCTCCGTGGACACCAATTTTTCATATGAATAGCAAATTAATCGGAGAAGGGTGTGGGATCAATCTTTATTGGGACATTTCAACACCTCCCACTTCCCGAAGGAATAAGCTATATGTTACAATGCTAATTAATCAGGAATTCAACCCCAAAGTTTAGCAAAGACCTTTAGTCCTAACAGAGTGTTGCTCAATAAAGGCCAAGAGAGGAGAGAGAAATTGCTCTTTTATTGACTGATGCCAATTTTCCATTACTGCTTCACTGTTGAAGTGCAGCTCTTGAAAAGTGTGATCTGAAGCAGCCAGGTTGATGGTGTTTCTCCCTCTCCTGCTGCTCCCCCCACCATAGTGCTCTCTGCTCAGTCTCTCATGGTGTACAAGATGTATAGGTATCGTTTCCAGTTGGTCTTGATAGGCTATTGACAGCTCTGGGAAGCATGCTGGGGAGAGATGCAGAACTGTAAACCGTCACCAACGTGCTTATGTAGGAATGCTACCCTGTGAGAATATCTTCTGTTTGCGGTGTCTCCCCATCGTGATTACCCTAACACAGATTAAAGGAGTTCTGACAGATAATGAACAAGTACAGCCATCTTCATTTCAGTGGAAAAGCGTGTGTGTGTGTGTGTGTGTGTGTGTGTGTGTGTGTGTGTGTCTGATGGAGGCCAGAGGTCAATTAGGGGTGTCTTTCCTCAGGAGCCTTCTATTTTGTTTTTTTTAAGCTTTTTAAAAATTTTTTATTAATTACACTTTATTCATTTTGTATCCCCCCATAAGCCCCTCCCTCCTCCCCTCCCGATCCCACCCTCCCTCCTGTTTCTGCATGCATGCCCCTCCCCAAGTCCACTGATAGGGGAGGATGAGAACTGATAGACTAAGATCAGAAAGAAGAGGAGAACCTCCCCTGTTTTGGTTTTTGAGATAGCATCTCTCACAGACCTGAAACTTGACAATTAGGCCAGATTGGCTAGCCAGCGAGCCCCATCAGCCTCTACCTTACCAACATTGGGATTCTGAATATGTGTTAACATGTCTGGCTCATGGTGTGAATGCTGGGGACTGAACTCAGGCCCTTCTGCTTGAGTGACAAGTGCTTTACCCACTGAGCTATCCTTTCAATCCCCTCACAGTTTAACAGAAAACAGTCTTCAGTATGTTAAACTATGATCATCAGGCTGAGGAAATGTTACCATGCTGTAGGCTTCAGGGCATGACAATACTGCCCAGTGGTCAGGAATGGTACCTAAAAGTGAATCTGGGTTGTCTGCAAACAGTTTTTAGCTTTTTAGGAAGGGTCTCTAGAGTTTATTTGATGTTTGAGATCCACTTTAAAATTGTTTTTTTATAATTTTTATTTTTTTATATTAATCACGGGTTATTTACTTTGTGTCCCAGCCGTAGCCCCCTCCCTCATTCCCTCCCATTCCCACCCTCCCTCTCTCATCTCCTCCCTGCCCCTCTCTAAGTCCATTGGTAGGGGATGTCCTCCTCCCCTTCCATCTGACCCTAGTTTATCAGGTCTCATCAGGACTGGCTGCAATGTCCTCCTCTGTGGCCTAGCAAGGCTACTCCTCCTTCGGAGTGGGGGGTGGGGGAGGTCAAAGAGCCTGCCACTGAGTTCATGTCAGAGAAAGTCCCTGTTCTCCTTAATAGGGAACCCCCCTTGGATGCTTAGCTGCCATGGGCTATGTCTGAGCAGGGGTTCTAGGTTATCTCCATGCATGGTCCTTGGTTGGAGAGTCAGTTTCAGAAAAGACCCCTGTGCCTTAAAAATTGTTATGGATGTAATATTTGCCTTATCAATCTTTTGCTTTACAATGTTGTCTTTTTTAATAACTAGGAGATTAAATTAGAGTGATATGTTGCCTGATATATTTGAAGGTGTCTTTAGAAGTTGCAAAAATGTTGAAGGCGGACACGTTTATTTTTTGAACTTTCTATGCCTCCCTCAGATGGGTACTAACTAGACTGTGGTTATAAGTGAACAGTTTCCATGAGATTTGCTGGTTCCAACTCACCTTGGAGTCAGACCAGTTTCTTGAGACATTTGTAGAAATGGCATGTCAGAGTTGAGTTCTGTTCTAGGCTGGTGATTTGTAAACATGGTTCTCAGTTTTGTTCTTCTCTGGGAGAAACATCTACTATGACCAACAGCATCTGTAAAAGATGACAGAGCTAGACCCCAGAGTGCAGGGTGACACTGTTCAAATATGGTGTCTGGCCAGCACGCTGCTCACTAGTCAGCATCTATCACTCTTTCCCTGCAGCTGACATTCCTGCATTGGAAAAACAAAATTTCTAGGGCACCTTGGGGCCAGTATTTCAAATTGGCTGTAATGCTGGCGTCTCACTAGCAAGGATGCTTGAAATATCCAATAATTTCTGATATTATTGCAGCAACCGTTTATGTTCCAGCTGTTAGAAAAGAAAATGAAAGTGTTTTCGTCCTCCACTGTCTCATTGGAAGGAGCATGGTTTTGGAAACAGCAAGCCTAACAAGTTAGCTGTGCCTGTCTCCTTTGCCCTCTCTCATTCTTGACTTCCTTTGGCTCTCTCCCCCTCCTCTCGCTTCATCTTCTATATAATAAGTTGCCTTTTGCTTGTGTTTTTTAATTTTTCTATTCAAAACAGAACCTAATAAAGGTAAAAGTATAAAGCTCACTAACATGCTGCCTAGTTTATTTAAGAAAGATAAAACAGTGTCTTTAATAACCAGCAGTATCTGCTGGAGAT